CCCCCCCCCCCCCCCCGGGCTGGTATGGCCAGCCGAAATATTGTTATAAAAAACAATACACGTTGTTTTAAATCAGCTTTGCTGTAGTCTTCGGACTTCTCGTTCTTGATCATTTTTGTGCCTACGATTATGATTTTTTTCTCACACTGAAGAAGAGTCATAAATCCGAAACGTTTGTGGTTTTTTTTTTTTGGGGGGGGGGGAGGGGGGAAACAAAAAAAGCGAGTATCACCTTATCAGCTATTGAAGTACAAGTGTCACGCATCCCAAACGGTTTTTCTGTTTAACATTGTTTCCATTGTTTTCATGGACTTAATCCGATTGGATGGTTTTGATTTTTGCGGCGAGTGTGCATAATTGTTGCGTAAATTATTAGTTTTGATGGTGTGACAGTGAGAACCAGCAATATGACAAGGCTCAATGGACTCAGGGTTTTTTTTATTGTAAACGGCTAAGAAAGCCAACTTTTAATTTTTGTCTTTTTAGAAAATAAAAGAAGTTAACAACTATCCTGTAAATGTACAGGTGTCTTCAAGTTCAGCAGTAACTGGCTGTGTGAAGCTAAGGCTACAAATCCTTTTCAAAGTTTCAGGTGTGCAGTGTCAGATAGGAGATTTGTATTACAGACAATATTATGGCCAAACAGTTCTTGAAGATGATTAAGATGGGCCTGGAAACCTTCACACGAACGATCAGGAATACCAAGTTCAGGATTATCAAAAAAATGTGGCGGATAACGGTTTTTGTATAGATCGGTTGCTCCATGGGTTTCCCTCGAACGAATTTGTGTTCAGCCATTTGGAATGATGACAAAACGATGATCATGATGGCGCCTAAGGTCAGGAAACTCTTATGAATTCCATAGGAATTGCCGTTTAGAATACTGTCCAGCATTTCAATGCCATCGATGAGATCAGAGACCATCAGAATGGATAAATTCCGGACAAGATCTCTGTGAGTTTTTGAGCTGTACGAATCATCTGCGGTGATCAACAACAACAGCAGCAGGATAGGTGTTGCGCACACGGTCAACGTTCATCCATTCATACCGGATGGACGTTTATCGTCATCAAAATAAAAGGCAATTCCAAATAGAGCAATTACATTTGGCACAAAAACAACGCCAATGTACAACCTCCATCCAAAAAATAACCGGGAAAGAATATATCTATCGTTCATTGTCGCATCTAATAGAAAATACACAGTGAAGAATTGAACGATTACGGAATACAGAAAACACAGCACACTAGCAATGACCTGCCAAGGCAGAAGAGAATGCAACAACCCAGTGATCTGGAAGTACAAAAAAGCTGCATTCTGAATAGCCAACAGGATCGCCAATAAGACACGACCACAAGATTTTACAGCCGCATACGCCATTTTTTAAGGCGCAGTCTTAACAATCATGACCCCCGAACTAAAGGGTCAAAACTTGTATGCTGAAGGTTCTAAGTTACGCATTTTTCACCAAGATGGCCTACACAGTCAATTGTATCTGAAGGGTTTTTTTTCATATTCCAAGAAATCTCGAAAGATTTTTTAAGCAGTCACTTTTTCTCCGGCGTATCTAAACGAACAAAATCGAACCCAATCGAACACCAATCGTTCAATTGGGTTAGGTAATCGAACATAATGGCACGTCTATTTTCCTGTGAGTTCGATTATCGAATCAATCGAACATAATCGAGCATAATCGAACTCAATCCGATTCGATTTTGTTCGGAATCCATTTCTGATCATTTCACGACAAGTAAATCACGCCTGAGTAATCATAATCAACCTTTATTGAACCTTAAAATAGAAAAAGTTCCAAATATCAAACTGAATGTCAATGTTGGATTATACGTGTATGTACAAGAGAACAAAATGACTGTTAAACTCTGAAATTCATTATTGTTTACATTTTTATAATAGTGAGAGGGAAAAGGCCGGCTTCTGCCTTGAATGTCGCCGTAACCGTCTCGTGGTAATTCGACCTTCAATGGCTACTATGGTGTATTATGCGGAAGTAACAAGGATTCGGGGGGATTAGGGGGGACGGTTCACCGTACAAAATTTCCGCAAAATATACACTTGTTTGGTTATAGGGTAATATTTAGGCTTTTTTTTAATACTTCATTTTTTATCAGTGTCAATATATAAACATAAAACCAGGGGCGTAGCTAGGGGGGTCCTGGAGTGTCCGTGACCCCCCCCCCCCCCC